GTGCTTTGTCTCAGGGAAAAAGGGGAAAATGAGGGATTTGTTCCACTTTCCAGGCCAAAACTAAAGCTGAGAGAGAGAAAAGCACCAAGCAGAGGTTCCTGCCCTGGCACAGGGCATTGCCAGCATGGAAAGAGGGTTTCTCCACAGGGTTCTGAAGAAACTCAAAAGGACAGACCCTTCTCCAAACATCCCATGAAAACTCAAATAAATCATAGAATCATGGAATGGTTTGGGTTGGAAGGGATCTTAAAGCCCTCCCTGCCCATCCCACGGGCAGGGACATCTTCCACTATCCCAGGTTGCTCCAAGCTCTGTCCAGCCTGGCCTTGGACACTGGCAGGGATATAGGGGCAGCTGCAGTTTCTCTGGGAATTCCATCCCAGCCCCTCACCACCCTCTCAGGGAAGAATCCCTTCCCAATACCCATATAAATCTACATAAACCCAGAGTGGGAACTGCCAAGGGGGCCCTGGGTGCCCCCAGACTCACTGTGTCTCTTCAGGGAGGACGAGGCGACGGGTGGCTTCCTGAGGCTGCTCCTTCTGGGGCCGGGATGAGCCGGGTCCGGAGCCAGGAGCGGGCTGGTCACCTGTGTCCCTGAGGAGGGGTTGTCACTGCAGGAGTCACCCCATGGGATCCCTGCCTGTCACCTCCTTCCTTGGGGCCCTTCTCCTCTATAACACCACCATGAGCATGGGAAAAAACCCCTTTGGGCCAGGTTGGGGTTGTTCCCAAGGCTCCACTGGCACCGACACAGCCGGATCCTAGTCCCTTGGAGCTGCATTGCTGGAGGATTTCAAATCCCACCCAATCCTCAAGCTGGATCCCAGTCCCTTGGAGGTGCTCCCAAGGGGATTTTCAGCTCCCACCCATCCCACAGACCTTCCCAGGGACACTCACCCGGCCCCACATCCTTTTTCCTCTTCCTGGTCTTGGCAGCAGCCACCCCCCGAGGCCGTGCTGTGGATCCGGGGCCACAAACCAGCTGCGGAATCACCGCACCCTTCAGACCTGGGGACACAAATCCTGTCCCTAAAAACATCTCAACCAGGGAACAGGGGGCTCATCTGCCCCTCCAAGACCTCCCAGCACATCCCAAATGTTTGCAGGGGAATCCCCCCTCCTCCGCACATGCTCCTTTGGGGGGACATTGAGGGGAGGGGGGATTTTATCCTGCTCCCATTGTGCCCTCAGAGGGGGTTTCCAACCTTTGGATGCCCAAGGACAGGGTGGGATGGGGATATCAGGGTGAAGCTTTTGGGCTGCAGAACCCCCTTGGGGCAGTGAACCCCAGATATTGCTGCTGTGGGAGGGGTTCACAGGGAATTAACCCCAGAGGCTGCTGCGGGAGGGGGTTCACAGGTTCCAGCCCTGGAAAACAACCCCAGCACGCCCTGAGCAGTGAATCCCAGTGGGATCTGCCCCCATCTAGCTCTCATGGGAGCACGGGGAGCTCCTCATTCTGCTCCCACACTCTGGGAACCAGGAGCTGGCTGCATCATGGTGGGAATCACTCCCCGTGCAGAGGGACTGGGCAGGACACAAACCCAACCCCAGGGTAGCTGCTGACCGGGAGCAGGTGTAAGGGCTGCTGGGAGGTGCCAGAGCCCGGGTTGGGGTGTCACCGACCCCTCAACACCCCCCAAGGCCCCCGTGTGCCCCTCCCTTCCCACCCCCGGCGTCGGAAGCGAGGAACTCGGCGAACTCCTGGGCCAGGCTCTCGTCGCTGGCGAAGGCGCAGATGCAGGCGAGGAAGTGGATGCAGCGTGTTGGTGGGACCTCTTCCTCCTCCTCCTCCTCCTCCTCCCCCTTGCCGTGCCCAGCGCGGGGGCTCCGGCAGGCGCAGGAGAAGCGGTGCTGAGCGAAGCAGGCGTGCAGGTAGCCCAGGCCGTGCCTCTGGCTGGCCTGGCACTTGACCACCAGCACGCTCCTGGTGACCCTCTGCACCAGCGGCCCCGTGGGCTCCGTCGCCAGCTCCCACAGGCTCTGCTTGGCCTCGGGAGGCACCTGCAGGGAGCCCAGCACAGACGCTCTTGAGGGGCAAGCGGCGTGGCTCAGCCTGGCAGCCCAGTGCCAGCTTCACAGAGTGCTGGCACTAGCTTGTCCCCGCACTAGCCGGTGGCCCCAAAAAAGAAACCAAAAAGCGGCGGGAGTCGCGTGGGGCAGCGCCCCGAGCTCAGCTGGGTGATGAGAGTGCCTTCGGGAGTCTGGATGGCGGTCTCGGAGACCCCCAGCTCCACGAAGCAGCGGGCGTGGTGCCCGCGGTGCCGCACGGAGTAGAGCTGAGCGGGAGAGCCGGTGAGGACGCGCACGGCGCCGGGGTCAGTGCCAGTGCCGGGGCCGGGTGGGCGGCGGGCGCCGGGCCGGAACACCGTCCCACACCGCTGGTTCTTGCAGCTCAGCCCCCGCGTGCCGTTGTAGGTGCCACAGCGGGGGCACTTGCGGATGCCCCGCAGGGTGGCCTTGCCCAGGTCCGACAGGAAGGAAGGGGCTTTGGGCCTCGATGGCGGGGGCTCCATGCTCAGGGAGCTGGGAGGGCACAGAGGGGGGAAATGGGGGGGAACAGATTAGTTGACTGGTCATTGGTGGTGCCAGTGGTGTCCCAACAGTCACTGGGACACCCCACAGTCCCTGGGACACCCTGTCCGATCCCTGTGCCATCCTGACAGTCCTTGAGCCACCCTGACAGTCCCCATGTCACCCCAGAAAACATGAATCATGGGCAGGAATGGGGCAGGAATGGGGGCAAGGAATGGGGCAGGAATAGGGCAGGAATGGAGGCAGGAATGGGAGCAGGAATGGGAGCAGGAATGGGGCGATTCCCTCTCGTCCCATGTTGGGTTTTGTACCAGTTTGGCCAGTTCTGAGGATGAGAACAGCGACTTCAGCTCCTCAACCCATTCCCCCCCTCACACAGCTCCCTATCCCAGTGTGACACTGGGGGGGACTGGGAGGGCTCCCCGTGACCCCCAGGAAGCCCGTGCCCGTCCCTGCTCTGCCCCGCGTCCCCTGACCCCCAGCCCGGGGATCTCTCCCCCCGGCCCCAGGGAGGTCTCTCCCCCGCCCCGGTACCTGCAGCCCCGTTACCGCCGCCGTGGGCGCCGTGAGGGGGGGTCCCACTTCCGCCATTCGCGCGCTCTTATTGGTCTGTCAGCACCACGTGGTGCGTCCCGGGGGCTGCTGGGAGATGTAGTCCAAAGAGGGGCTACGGCCACACCGGGGCCTGGACTACAACTCCCAGCAACTCCCGCAGCAAGAATTCACCACTTTCTCCCCTTTCCCCCCCAAATTCCAACCTTTCCCCCCAAATCCCACCAGCACCCGCTCCACTCCCCCCCGTGACCAACAAAACACAGCACACAAGCTTCAGGGTTTTTTTAATTTTTCCTTTTTTTTTTTTTTTTTAAAATTTTTTCCTTTTTTTTTTCCATTTTTGTGGGTTTGTGTTTTTTTTTTTTTAAAGGCTGGGCAAGAGGTAGGATTAAAAAAAGGGTGTTTTTGGCCTCTGATAGATCAGGTTTGGGAGCTCTTCTCACCTTCACTCCCTTGTAAAACACACCTGGGATATCGAGGGAATTTTACACAATTTATTAAAAACTTTATATTCCAAGAGATATTTGATATCCACAAAAAAATAAGGGAAAAAAAGAAGATTTGAGGCATAAAATCACATCAAAAAGACTCCATGTCCTACCTTTAAATAAGGAAAAGTACAAAAGTGGCCAAAAGTTGTGCAAAATTCTTCAATTTGCTCAAATATTTTACAGGAAAATGTAGAAATCAGTAAAAAAAAAAAAAAATCAAAGTAACAACCCTGGAGGGATTTGTCACGTTTTAGCAACAGGAATTTTGCTGTCCCAGGGTGGGAATCTTGGCTCACGTGGGGAGATGGGTGTTGTCACACCCCTTTTTTTCCCCCCATCGTAAGGCAAAACCGACCCTGAAAAACACACTGAGATCCACAAAAAATGATGTAAACGAGTAATTTATCCTCAAAAAAAACCCCCTCCTGGTGGAAGAAAAACCAGAGGGTTTTTCCAAGAGGCTGCTTAAAAACAGGGTGTGAGGCTGAAGATGTGGCAGCTCCAGGATTCCCACACTTTTGGCTTATTTTGGGGGGTTTTACAGCTGTTTATGGTGTATTTTTCCATCGGCTCTGAGGGAAAACCTCCCCAAAAATACAAAAACAAGGATGACTTGTGCAATTCCTGCCCCAATTCTGAGCTAAGGCAGCGAAGTCCCTGCATTTGTGTTTCTAAAAAACACTGAATTTAAGAAACACATCAAAAGGAGGAAAAAACAACCAAGGCAGAAGGCGGCGATCCAGCATCTGGGTGTGGGGGGGAAAGGGGGGATTCTGTTAAAATTGAAAGGGTGGGGGCGATTTTTCCATGATTCCAACCCCTCGGATTGTGGCTCTGGTAATAAATACCCGGGCGGGTGCTGGGGGTCCCCTGCGCTCAGGGGGTCCGAAGCCCAACGCGGAAAGCGGGCTGGGGGGGCACCAAACGGCGCCGTTCTGGCCCTGGGGGGGCTGCACTCCATAGTTGGGGCCCATCCAGGCTGCTGCCGACTGGGTCTGGCTGTGGGGGGAGAGAAGAACCCCTTAGGAATGTGGGGGGGATAAGGGAAGGGGGGTTTGATGAGGAATTGGGGCACTGAGGGGGGTGGGGGAGTTGTTCTCCACCCGTCCCAAGCGCCATGTCCTGGAGTGGAACAGCTTTGAGGGGGTTGTAGGGTCACAAAGCCGTTTCCCAAGGGGATAAAAAGGAGATTAAAGGACCCCCCGAACTCACCTGAATCCCTGCTGGTTCCAGGCCTGGCCGTACACGCCATAGGTGGGCACCTGCCACCCGTTGGGCACGTACTGCCCGAGCTGGGCCCCGCCGTACCACTGCCCCCACTGCCCGTAGGGAGGGGGGTAACTCAGCTGGTTCTGTGGGAAGAGCCAGGGTAGGAATCAGGGAATGACACCTTCCACCAGGCCAGGCTGCTCCAACCTGGCCTTGGACACTGCCAGGGATACAGGCTCCCCCCTCCTGTCAGGAAGTTGCAGAGAGGGAGAAGGTCCCCTCCGAGCCTCCTTTTCTCCAGGCTGAGCCCCCCCAGCTCATTTACATTTTCCAGCCCCTTAAGGAATTCCCAGCAGACACTAAGGAACTTCCCAGAGGAGCAGCCCTGACCTGCTGCACGGGGCTGACCATGTCAGGGGTCTCCTTGCCCCAGTAGCACTTGACGACATGGCCCTCGATGGTGGTGCCGTTGACGGACACGATGGCGTGCGCTGCACTCTCGTGGGAACTGAACCTGCCGGGATCAAGGTGGGACAACACGAGCCACTCACTCAGGGAATAACAGCTGGGATAACCCCCAGGGTCCTTGCTAGCCCAGGATGGGTTTGGGGCCTCGGAACCAGCTGGAACTGCCCCTGTCCCACCCCAGAGGGTGGCAGGACGTGAGGTCACGGGTGACAAAGGGCTGGGGCTGCTCTTCCTGTCCCCATGCTGTGATTCTCCCTAAATAAACTGGAAAATCCAGCAAGGAGAGCAGTCAATTTATGATGTTTTCTGCTATATGGAGCTTCATCAATAAAGGGATGGTGGTTTTGGAAAGACTCAAAGTGCTTCAGTAACTCCTCTGAGATGACACAACAGACCAAGGTCCTGTACGGTTCCAGCTGTTTTCTGGGGTTTTTCCTGCGTGTTACAGCCCATAACCCCTCCTCAGAGCAGAGGGAGCTGCTGCAGGGTGGGCTCTGCAGCCTGACAAACTCCCACCCGGGCAGACCCACCATGCCCTCGGCCCACCTACCGCACGAAGGAGTATCCTTTATCTGGGAACACTCGGATCTCCAGGATCTGCCCAAAGGGGGAGAAGGTCTGGCGCATCAGCTGCTCTGGAGCAGGAAGGACAGGCAGCGGCGTGAGGAACCCGCAGGGGCACAGGAACAGGGTCATAGGGGGAACCCCACGTACCTGTGAGGCCCGAGGTAACCCCCCCACAGTACACGGTGCAGTTGCTGGGGCTGGACTGGGTGACCACGTCGTCGTAGGACAGTTGTTTGGTGTTTGCTGGGAGAGATTGGACAGGGATTTTCAGTGGATCCGACAGGAATGGTGGGGGAATTATAATTATAATCCTGACTGGCAAAAGGTGTTGAGCACAACCTGCAAACACCCCACTGAGAATCTCTGTGGAGAGACTTAAGAGCGCCTTCTAGTGACTAAAGGGGCTTCCAGAGAGCTGGAGAGGGGCTTGGGACAAGGGATGGAGGGACAGGAAAAGGGGGGAATGGCTTCCCACTGCCAGAGAGCAGGGTTAGATGGGATATTGGGAAGGAATTCCTGGCTGTGAGGGTGGTGAGGGGCTGAGAATGGAATTCCCAGAGCAGCTGTGGCTGCCCCTGTATCCCTGGCACTGTCCAAGGCCAGGCTGGACGGGGCTTGGAGCAACCTGGGCTAGTAGGAGGTGTCCCTGCCCATGGCAGGGGGTGGAATGGGATGGCTCTGAGGCCCCTCCGCCCCAACCCACTCCATGATTCCCTGACTCGGGAGGCTGGCAGGGCACCCAGCTGAGCACCTACACTCATAGGTGCTCTTTGGAGCCGGAGGTTTCCTCGTGGCCCAGTTGGTGCGGATTTGCCGTCCCCCGAGCCACTGCCCCCCCATCTGCTGGATCGCGTTCTCTGCGTCCTGTGGGGAGAGGAGACAACAAAACCCTCTGTCAGCAACTCCTCCCCTGCGAGAGAGCCAAGGGAGTGACATCACCGTGCTCCTGACTGACAAAGCCCTGGCAGTGTCCAAGGCCAGGCTGGACGGGGCTGGGAGCAACCTAGTCCAGTGGAAGGTGTCTCTGCCCATGGCAGGGGGTGGCACTGGATGGGCTTTAAGGTCCCTTCCAACCCAAACCATTGTGGGATTCTGTGATTTATATGGGTTTATAAATATAGACAGAAGCTTCTCCCCATGACAGGCAGGGAAACCAAAGCTGGAGAGAGGAAGGGATCTTACCCACTTATTGAAGAAGGACACAAAGCCATATCCCTTGGACTTCCCTGTCGCCATGTCCTTGACCACCCGTGCGTCCCTACAAAGCACAAACAAGAGCCAGTTCAGCCCCTTCCAGTGCAGCCCCTCCTCGAGTCCCTGAGTCATTTTCCTCTCTCACCTCCACTAATCCTCAGCTCTTCACTGCACCAGCAACACACTCAAAGCAAAAGGCTCCTTGTCTACACAGAACTTTACTAAGGCTTTGCCAGGTAGTAGCAAAATTAAAACTTAATTGTGTAAACATGTAAATCAATGGCTTCTCTAACAAATGTCTGCACTCTACAGCTGGCTCCTGCTTCAAAACACTCTCACAGACTGTTAAGGCACAAAGCATGGTCAAAGCAGCTATTCCAGATGGCTTAAGGCTGACATGAGCTGAATGGCTCTCTTGAACCACGCCATTTTTAAACTTTTATTTATTTGCCAACACATTCTACATACTCATTCCAAATATTAAATAGAAAAAAAATAAAAAAAAAGAAGATAGGAATTAAAAGGCATACGTCGCCTGTTAACTGAATTCTTTAATTCTTGGGTCGTTACCCCCTGTTTGGACTGTGGGCAGCTGTAAATTTTGAGAGATTGATATTTCAGAAATTAGTGAAGAAAACACTGCAATATTCATATCTTTACAAACTACACATTACACAGCATTGGTACAACAGAGATTGGAACTACGAAATATATATAAAAAAGAGGGAAAAAAATGAATAAAATTGATAAAAATAAATAAGAAAACTACAACGTTTGTCCACTGTGAACTGTAGCTTGTGGTTAGCCATGGAATTCTGTCCATTCTTCAGGGACACTCTGCAAAATAACCAGAGCCCTATTATTTGGGATTGAGTTAGGAAGAGAACCCAGCTACCAGAGCTAAACCCACTGGAGGATACAGCAGCAGTTGGGGGCCCAGCCAGCCCAGGGTGAGGTGTCCTCATCCCAGGCCACCCTCTCCTCCCTCCCACCACGGACAGGCAGGAAAAGAAACAGAAACAGCAGCAAAACCACTCAGGAAGTCATGCAATTTAGGGTTGGAGAAGTCAGAGGGGGCAGGGGAAAAACAGTGTTAATGTGGGCAAAAGAGAAGCCACAATGGAGAGAAAGTTTGTTAAGGCCTGGAGTTCGTAAGCCTAATTAAGTTTAATTATGGCACCCACAGCATGACAGTGTCAGTGGTGCCTAATGAAAATCCCTCTCCCAAAGCTACAGCAGGAATATTTGTCCTTTCCTCTCTGTTAGACCCTCCCCCACTTCCCCTTTTTTTTCTTTCCTAGGCCAGAACTTGGATCAAACATTACAAATTGCCAGAGAAAAGCCACTTTGGGAAGCTGAGTCTAGAGAGGGAGTGAGGGAAAAACTCATCTCTACTTACCCTCAACTGAAAACTTGGGAATAAAGACTTGAGAACAAGTGAAAACATGCACAGAGCAAGTGAAAAAGGAACCACAACGAAACGGTGTTTGTTTAAAAAAAGCCAGATGCAAAGAATTACCCAATTTCTTTCTGAGCTAATCATGCAGTACTTCAACCTCGGTGTCATTAATGAAAAAAAGCTCAGTTTGGCACCAGTAAAGATTAAAATAAAAAGAAATCAATCAGGAAATATTCCATTAGCAGCACAATTCCACAGGCTGGTCACTGATAAAGAACAGGTAAAGTCAGGTCACTTCATTCAATCACTTGTTTTTCCAGGTTAAACTTAAATAAGAAGAAAATCTGGGTCATTCTGAGTTTGGAAAAAGAGTTCAAAAAAGTCATTAAGGGGATAATTCTGCTTTTTTGGGGAAAAAACTGAGTTTCAGCTTGGATGGTCAGTTTGAGCCAAGGCAAACCACAAGTGTTCCGTGTGTCAGCAGCACAAGCACCACTCCCCATCACCACCATCACACAGGGATAGCTCTCCCAGGGAAAACACTCTTCCAGGAAAGATGGGACAACAGGCCTGGCCTCAGATTCAGGGGTAGGAGGGAGCTTAGGGGGTTATTTATGGAATGTGTGTCCACTGAGCTGTCACCTCTGATACCCAGGCAGGGGGAAACTCTCTCTCGCTGCCCGCTCCTGCCTCCTTCTCCCATCATTCCAGCCTATCCCTTCCATCCAGCACACCTGGCCAGAGGATGAGAGCATGAACTGCCTCCTTGGAGCCCTCCCTCTGCACTCCCTGCTGACCATTAGCTGCAGTCAGGCATTGGGGATGTCTGAAGCAAGACCACACACAGATAAATTTTAAACCTTCTAATAAAAGGAAATCAAGCTGGCATTAAAAGAGGAATAAACTGGACTCTTGAGGGGTAAAAAAAAAATAAAACAACAAAAAACAAACTTACTTCAATTAAATGCTTCACTACCCAACACTCCAAAGCACTCTATGTTCTTACATCACCATCAAGAAACTCCAATGTCCAGTACAGACAACACTACAAGGAAAATTAATGGTTTACGTTTGGAGGATGGAATGAAGGAACTGCTCCTCTCTCTGCTACACCCTGAGTAGGACAGACTGGCAGGGAGGGCTGGGACCATCCCCTGCCCCGCTGGGACCAGCTCAGCTCCCTGACCCATCTGTGGGGCCCTGGGTCAAGGGCTGACGCTGCCCCAGTGCCCCAGCGAGCCTTGTGCTCAAAAAAGGTTCATTTTGTGGGAAATGGGGATTAACTCCATAAAAAACATTGGCTATGAGTGGCTGGCACCCCAAAAATCCAGAGTGCAAACTGGGCTGAGAGGGCCAGGGAAAGGCACACCCCGGGTTGAAGAGTCTGGATTTTCCAGTGTTGCTTTGCCAAATGAGGCAAGGAGGATAAAGCCAAAGCAAGCTGGACACAACTGTTCCAGGAAAGCAGAACAAACTGGGATAAAGGATTCGGGTGAGAGGCTGCTGTGTGACCAGAGGAGTGTGTGTCCCTGCCCTGCACAGTGTTACTTACTCACAAAGCTGCCTCCACTTGGGAGAGAGAACTTGGAGATTATGTGCCCTAAGAAAGGACTTACGATATTCTTCCAAAGGGGGCAAAGGCTGCTTTGATGTCTTCAGTCGTGATCTCTGGACTGAGGTCTCCCACAAAGACATGGAAATGGTCTTTTGGGAAAAAGAGAAAGAAGCACTTAATGGTTGAACAACTCTGTACAGAGTAGAGTAAAAAAAAAATAAAAATTAAGAAAACCTTTATTAAAACTCCAGCTATTATTAAAAATACATTATTAAATACAACAAAAATACCTAATAAATACCACAAAAAAAATTAATAATCAATTAATATTCAAACATCTTCTACATGAAAACCAGAGTTTGCTGTGGAACAGAATTCACTGCTGTTCTCTGCGCTTGGCAGTGCTACAAGTCAGTGATTTGAAGGACACTGCAGCCACTTTTGTATCTTGAATTTTACCAACTGCTTTTAAGACCTGCCAATATTTACTGTACAAATCTGAAACTACTTACTTAATGTGTCCAGATTACACAAAAATTTTTCTCTTCCTATGCCAGCATTAAGCTGTGACACAGAATTATGGAATCATGGAATGGTTCCTTAAAAACACCCAGTCCCATGCCCTGCCACAGACACCTTCCACTCTCCCAGGCTGCTCCAAGCCCTGTCCAACCGGGCCTTGGACATTTCCAGGGGTGGGGCAGCCTTAGCTCCTCTGGATGTGGCAGGAGATCACTTGCTCCTTGAAGTCCCATAAGCTGGAATGCTTCAAGAAACGCAGGAGGGATTTGGATCCTACCCACAATGTCTGGATTAACACTGCAGGTCATAAAGGACAGACCAAAACAACCCAACTTAACAGTTTGCCATGAAAGGAGGAAAGGAGGAAAAGCAGTCCTGAATCTAAGAAGTTTTCCACCACAATCACCGTATCCCCCAGATCTGTGCTACAGCAGATACCAAACTCCAGTCAACTCAGATGCTGCCGTGGTTTACCCTCACCAGCCTACAGGAATTCCAAGGGAAGCCTTTCCATAAAAAATAAATGGAGAACAAAAAAAAAAACCCAAACACAGTTTCAGGTGGTTGGTGAAGACCCTGGAGATATTTCCACTTATGTTTAAGAAGACACAGTTACCTTGTGAACGCTGTGCTGGCAATGGAACTACCTGATGGCAAAGATCAGATTTCTTCAGTTTATTAAGACAAAGACATTAATTAGGACTACAATAAAAACATTCCCACAAAGCATCATTTGATGTATTTATGTTTAAGAACTTGTACAACTCAGGCATAAGTGGTACTTACTGCTGGTGTCCTTCTTCTGGCTGCTGGGGGTGGTGGCCCAGTTCACTTTGACCTCCTGCAAATGGAGATCATTAGATCCTGGAGCTCAGAACTGAGCTCAAGACACCTCCAGCACTTAATTCTGACCCTACAGAGCTCCCCATGGGCAAGGCTGGGGTGAAAGGTCAAGTTTAACACATATTTCTAGGGAGAGGGCTTGTTCTTAAGATTATTCTGAGGGCTGGAGCAGCTCTGCCACGGAGACAGGCTGGAAAAGCTGGGGGTGTCCAGCCTGGAGAAGAGAAGGCTCTGTGGAGACCTCAGAGCCCCTTCCAGTGCCTAAAGGGGCTCCAAGAGCTGGAGAGGGACTTTGGACCACGGGGAATGACTTCCAAATATCTTACAGGGAAGTGTCAAGAGGATGGGGACAGACTCTCTTCAGTGGTGCCCAGTGACAGGATAAGAGGCAACGGGCATGAACTGAAACGTGGGAATTTCCACCTGAATATGAGGAAAATACAATGGAAAACTTTCCTTTGAGGGTGACAGAGCCCTGGAACAGGTTGTGGAATCTCCTTCTCTGGAGACATTAAACCCCTGCCTAGACAACACCCTGTGTAACCTGCTCTGGGTAAACCTGCCTTGGCAGGGGGGCTGGGTGGGATCACCTCCAGAGGTCCCTTCCAACCCCAACCACTCTGGAATTCTGTGGGTGTTCCTCCCTCCCAGCTCCACATTCCCACCTCCCTCTGCCTTCTTCCTACAACAGTCTGAGCATCTCTCCCCAGTCGTGTTCCGTTACAATCTCTGTCCCAACGAAGTGCCTGACAGCTCCAGAGTGTCTCCAGTGGAACTGTGCCCCTGGATCCGTCCCCCCAGCCCGGGGCCAGCCTGCTGTCCCGCTCACTCACCCGCAGCCAGGGCAGCTTACCTTACCCATTATCTTCCTGCCGTTCATGGCCGCCAGCGCGGCGGCCGCGTGCCGGTGCTCGTAGAACTCCACGAAGCAGTAGGGATCGTTTCCAGCTGTCTGAGACAACAGGCAAACCCAGGGTCAGGGACGCAAACCTCCTCAGGCTGCACTCGGCTGCTCTGCTCAGCTCCTGACTCCTCACCCCTCAGCATCCCCAGTGGACAGGCTTTTTCATTGCACAGGGATTACATTCAGGGACTGACAAAGCTCTGCCTTACAAAGTTGAAATTACGGCAGAGAATTTTTAAAATCGCATTTACAACCCCCCCACGGTTTAAGCTGTTCACTCCCCCTCGCCATGTCCACCCATCCTTAAATTCACACCAGGCACAAGGCAGGAATGATGCCAAAAGCACACAGCAGCACCTCCAGGCTTATTACACCCTTTAACTGGTTGTGCCCTTTTCCAGGGGAATTCCCAGACACACAGGTACGGCCTGGAGCCATGAGGAACACGGCAGTCAGTGCAGGCTCTTACATCCATGATCATCTTGCAGTTTTTGCACGGTCCGATCTGGCTGAACAGCTGGAGGATCAGAGCCTCGGTCACGTCCCTGGACAGGTTCCCCACGTACCTGAGGATCAAACACAGCACAGACACGGGTGTTGGTCACACTGGGAGCTGCAGAGGGCTCTGGGCAAGGGACTGTAGGGACAGGAAAAGGGGGAGAGCTTCCCCCTGACAGAGGGCAGGGTTAGATGGGATACTGGGAAGAAATCCTTCCCTGGGAGGGTGGGGAGGGGCTGGAATGGAATTCCCAGAGAAGCTGGGGCTGCCCATCCCTGGAAGTGTCCAATGCCAGGCTGGACAGGGCTTGGAGCAACCTGGGAGAGTGGAAGGTGTCCCTGCCCCTGGGATGAGCAGGGATGGCTTTAAGGTCCCTTCCAACCCAACCATTCTATGATTCTATTATTTATTCATATTTATTTGAACTTATTTGGGTTTGTATGGGATGTTTGGAGAGGAAGGGTCAGTCCAACGGGGCAGCTTGGTCTAGTGGAATGTGTTCCTGCCCACGAAAGGGGGGTGAGATAAATTGGATTATCTTTAAGGTCCCTTCCAACTCAAATAACTCCATGACCCTGTAACTCTATGAACTCAACCCACCAAACTGATTTCCACGCACAGAAATGGCAGTTCTGGTATCTGTACAACAACATCATTCCCCAGGCACCATTTCCCAGCTGCCCCAACAGCTCAGGCTGGTGTTTGTCAAGGTTGTTACACAACATTTGGTCCGTTTCTTTCAAAGGCCTCAGGTTTTGGAAGCATCAGATCTGTGTGAGGCCACAGGCCAACGTGCTCGAGTGCACAAACACAACCCCAACCCCTGCTCCCATCTGGGATTTTGGCTTTCTCAGACCCCCATGAACCACAGGTGGGTGTTTTTGTTGTTGTTGTCAAGCCCAAGTCACGAGATTTTTATAAAAAGCACAGCGAGAAACCTCAGCCCCCGAGGTGTGGCAGCAGCTTCCCGCAAAGGAATGTTCTGTGGGTAACCTCTGCCACGGGAATCCTGGACAAATCCCACCACCAACACCACCTGGGTGCACCTGCAACCCCCCACCTGCTGCCAAGAGGTGTAAAGGTGTTGTAAGAAAACAACCAGGCAGCAACAACAGGGGCTGCTCGTGCTCCTGGTGTTGACACAAGGCCAGGAACCTGCCAGAGGGATGAGCTCCAATATTTGGTTAGGCAGATATTGTGGGAAGGAGACACAGAGCCTGTTTTGCTGCCAGAAGTGATAAATACAGGAGCCCTGTGTTAATAATTTGGACAACTATTTCAGGGAGGAGTCAGGAGTGTATTTTAAAATCCCCAGACAGACCTTCACAGCCATCATCTTGCTCTGAGTAATTCCTGCACTTCTGACAAGTTTCCTTAAGCCCTAAAACCTTCAAAAAAGGAGGGATTGGTGCACTTCATTAAGGTAATTAACCAGGACATTATCCCCCACATCAAGTTCAACCAAGAGTCAGAATCACAGAATCATTTACTTGAGAAAGACCTCATGAAGTCCAGCCTTTGACAGATCATCACCTTGTCAACCGGACCAGAACCAGAAAGGCCCCTTTTTTCCTCCCCCTTTTTTTTTCAATATTGTCATCCTTTGGATAATGCATAAACTGAGCCTCATGTGACCTTCTGGGTCCAAATTAATTAATTTGTGACTGAGAGTTCCCCAAACAGGGTGCCCACACCCCGACCTCTGCACTCACAGGAGGAGATCTCAGTCCTGTCTCTTCCTGCACCTTTCCCATCCTTCTCTTTCCTGCTAATTGGAAGAGAATCCAATTAATGAGTTGGTTGGTGACTCTCTGCAGATGAAGGACTGCATTTTCCAACTTTATTCACTGCGTGTGGCTTCTTGAGAAGTAAAACCCAACCACTGCCAGCACTTCTTTCAGACACACAAACTGAATTGGGACACGTATTCCACAAGCATCCCCGGACTTCCATGGAAAACACAAACAAGAGGACTTAGTCACTTCAAACCCATCTCGTAACCACTCTGCAGATCTGCAATCTGCTGGTGAAGAGTGGTTTTCAAGGAAGGGAGAACAAGCTGCCTCTCCAGGAAATCATTTACATAAAAGGAATAACAGCTCCTAAAGGATCTACACCCCCTCACAGAAACGGGTTATGTGGAAATGGCAAAACCAAGGTGTTACTTCCAATAACGTCTGGAATCTATTCCAGAAAAATGTCTGAAATGTGCTAAAGGAAGGAAAGGAACAGGGACAGGGGTGCAGAGGGCTTTGGAGGCCCCTCATGATGTCACACAACTGAGGGAGCCCCAAAATCTACACCCAGGTGGGGTTTCTGGAGCAGAAATCCTACAGAAATCCTCGTGTAGACATGGATTTAACATGCACTTTGGCCCCCCAGCTGCAAAGATCACCTTAAGCTGCACTTTCTGCCTTCAACTGCTCGTTCTAAACGTGCCCTGTGACACCCAGCTCATGACAATCCCCTGTGTGATTTGAGAAAGTCACTGGGAGGTGCCGTAGGAATCCCATCCCAGCTCAGTCCTCAGCTGTGCTCAGAACCCGGCCGTGTTTAAGGTCGGACTCAATGATCCTGGAGATCTTTTCCACCCTCAGTAATTCCATGTCTGTGCCACAAGCTGCACGTGCTCCAGGACAGGGACCTCATTCCCTCGGGAACACACCGAGACCACCAGGCTCCACACAGCCATTGGGATGGGGGGGGAACATCTTCCTAAATAAACACAAAACACGCCAACAGGTCTGACCATGTTTGCTGATGCCAAGAATAGCTCCCAAAATGTGGGAAGACAACGGGATTGGAGGAGCAGACAGAGTGGTCACTGCCGTGAGGCACCTCAAGGGCTTGTTTTCCTGCGGTCACTCAGCCAAGTTGTTTCTCAAGCCCTGGGGAGGTGCAGCAATCCAAGGGCACAATGTTCCCTCGCCTTGGAATGATTCCCTCTCCCTCCTGCCTTTGCTCCTGCACTGGAGAATGAAGCTGGTAGAGGTCAGATGGGAAGACTGGAGGCTGATTTCCCTGATCTACACGAGGGATACCACCCCAGGTAACACCTGCCTGGGAAAAGGAGGGAAACACACAGCTCAGGTGTGCACAGGAGCTCTGGAAAACAGCACCAGGGGTGCACAGGAACTGTCCCATGCCTGGAAAAGTGTCAGGTGTCCACAGCACCACCACCTTTTCCTAATACCCAATGTACACCTCCTCCGACACAGCTTCATAATTAGTTCTTTGGAAGTAACAGGCTCAAGGCGTGCTTTGAACACTGGGGCAAACAATGGATTCATGGGCACCTCCTGGGTACTTCCTTGGAGCTGCTGATCATGGCACTGGGGCTCCAGCTGTTTCCCAGGGCAGTGCCCACATTCCCTGGGAGCTGGTGGTGCCACATGCTCCAGAGATAGTAAAATCCAGCCAGACGCTCACAAAATGCACATGGAGCATGTAGGATGATAGGATCGTCATCATGGAACGGTCTGGGGTGGAAGGGACCTTGATCATCCAGTTCCGTCCCCTGCCACGTGCTAGGATGGACTGGGGAGGGCGGACACATCTTCCAGACCCCCTTTTCCTCCAGAAGTGAGCTGGAGGCCCGGGATAACACCCGGATCGCGGGGCAGGACGGCGGTGACCAGCAGTGGGAACCGGGAAGGGGCAGGAACACCGCAGGGGGCGCCGGGTACCCCTTAGCTCCCAGGCGGGGGTCGCTCCCCCAGCAACTGCGGGCAAGCTGAGGGCGCCGCGGCGGGAGCCACAGCGGCGCCGCCCGTGCCTGAGGGCCCCTCCGTGAGGCGACCCCGGGCCGCCCCCCCCGCGGAGCCGGGAACAATAGGCCGGTCTCGCCCCCCTCCCACTTCACAGGGTCTTGGGCATTTCATCCTCCATGGCGCCGCCGCGCCCACTCTCCGCTTTACCCGCCCGCCGGGGCGGCCCCGTGAGCCCTGGGCAGCCCGGCAGCCCTGAGCGGCGGCCGGCCCCTTCCGGCGGACGGTCCCGCGGCAGCCCTCCTCGCAAGATGGCGGGCGGGCGGGTGGGCTGAGGGGCCTGGGGGGGGCGGTGGAGGCGGGAACAGCGCGTCGCGGAGAGAGCGCGGGAAGCGGAAGCGGAGCGCGCGCCCCGCCCGCTGCCATATCTGCGCATGCGCGAGACAGGAAACGGCGGGATGATTAAAAATCTGCGCCATGCGCGACAGGGAACGGCGGGATGATTAAAAATAGGGGGGTTAAAATGAAGGGATTGAAAAGTAAAGGAATTGAAATATAGGAAGGAGTTAAAAGTGAAGTAGTTAAAAGTAAAGGGGTTAAAAGTGGGGTGAAAAGGGACATCAGGTCGCTGGGAACGGGGGTATCAGGGTGGAGGGTGGGAAAAGAAAAACGAAGGCGTTAAATAAAGGAATTAAAAGTGAAGGAATTTAAAATGAAGAAGTTAAAAATAAAAGAATTAAAAGAATTTAATTGAAAGTAAAGGAATTCAGAGTGAAGAGAGTATAAGTGTTTCGGTAAAGAATTAAAGGTCGAGGGACTAAAATCTCAGTGCGCCGCCCGGGAATCGAACCCGGGTCGCAAGAATGGGAATCTTGCATGATACCACTACACCAGCGGCGCGGCTGATACACCTTCCCCTCCCGGCTCCTCATCATCCCAGCGGCTTCCGGCCCTGCGCCGGCTCCCGGCCCGCCCCTCGCCGCTTCCGCCGCGGTCCTGCGCCCCGGCGCGGCGCCATGCACGGCCTGTGCCCGCTCCTGCTGCTCCTCGCCGGCTCTGCAACGCCTCGCCCGCCGCAGCGGATGGAGGGAGTCGCGTGCGCGGGAGGGACAGGAGGACTGAGGGGAGCACGATGAGGGGATGTGGGAGGGGCCTGTGAGGGGATCTGGCGGGGTGTGAAGGGTAGTAAGTGGGCGTTGATGGCAGGGCAGGGGGGTGGTGAGGGGATCTGTGAGGAGGGTGAAGAAGGCGGGTTGTGAGGGGTATATCGTGACGGGGGGCAGTGAGGGATCTGTGAAGAGCGGGGATAGTGAGGAGACCGCGGAGGTGACCGGCCCGTTCCCCAGCCGTGGGTGCGGCTGGGCGGGATCGGCGGCTGGCCGCGGATATTTCATGACGCAGCCAGAAAGTTCCGGCCCGGGGCGTGCCGGCTGGAGTGATAGAGAGAAGGCGGCGGTGGGCGGCCGGCTGGCCACGCTGGACGTCGAGGGGGCCGCCTACGAGGCCGGGGGGTCCATCATCCACCCCCTCAACCTGCACATGAAACACTTTGTCAAGGAATTGGGTGAGTGGGGATCTCCAGTCACAGTGTCCTCCAGCCCCAAAATCATCCCCCTGGCATGCTCTGGATCCCACTCTGCTGGGGGACATCCCTCTAAAGAACAGGTCTTGGTTGCCCTCCTTTCTTCCCCAGTAGCCCATCCATATCCTTCCCTAGAGCCTTCCTTCCTTTCCCAAATAGCCTTCCATATTTTTCCTCAGTAGTCCTCCCTCTTTCTTCTTTTCCCAATGTCCCCCACATATCCTTCCCCAGTAGTCCTCCTCCTTTTCCCAAATCCCCCTCATGTCCTTCCCCAGCAGTCCCCGTTTCTTCCTCAATAGCCTCCCATATCCTTCCCAAGAGCCCTCCTTCCTTTCTCAAATAGCCCTTCATATCCTTCCCTAATGGTCCCCCTTCTTTCCCCAATATCCCCTCCATGTCTTTCCCCAGTAGCCCCCCCATATCTTCTCCCTATAGCCCCTGTGGTACCCCAGCCCCCCTCCAGGCAAAGGAAACCCACATCCCAATGGAAATGGGACACCCCCTTCCCATGAGTGACCCATTAATGCCTTAATAAAGGTCCAAAAGTCACCTCAGATCACTCCCTGGCTCCTTGTCAAGAGCTAATTCCCCTTTCTATCCCTTGGGAATAATCCAGTCTCGTCACTCACCCTTATCAACGCAAAGCCAGGTTGTCTCAGGAAGGTAAAATCAAGGTGTAAGAGCTCTTCCTTTCCCTAAATTAATGTTTTCCACCCCTTTTCCTGAAGGCCTCTCAGCCGCCCCAGTCCCGGGCAGCCTCGCTGGCGTTTACAATGGGGAGGAGTTTGTGTTTGAGGAGAGCAGCTGGTACATCATCAACCTCCTCAAGCAGCTCTGGCACTATGGGCTCAACCCCCTGCGCATGTCCATGTGGGTGGAGGACATCCTGGACAAGTTCATGAGGTATGTTGGGCCCTCAGAGGGGAGAAGTGCGAAAAAGATGGAAAAACCATCTCAGGGACACTTTCCACTATCCCAGGTTGCTCCAAGCCCCGTCCAACCTGGCCTTGGACACTTCCAGGCATGGGGCAGCCACAGCTTTTCTGGGCAACCTGTGCCAGGGCCTCACCACCCTCATCATAAAAAAATTCCTTATACCCAACCTAAACCTCCCCTCTTTGTCCTGTCCCTCCAGGCCCTTGTCCTGCTGCTCCCACGAAGGGCTGGGAGCTACATCATGAGATCCCCAACAGCTTCCCAGAGCCACAGAGATAATTAATAATGAACTCCTTGTCTCCAATTAAAGGATCTATCGCTACCAGATGCACGACTACGCCTTCAGCAGCAATGAGCAGCTGGTGCACGCCCTGGGAGGGGACGACTTCATGCGGATGCTGAACCAGAGCATCGACGAGGCCCTGCAGAGAGCGGGGTTCTCCCAGAAATTCATCAACGAGGTCATCTGTCCGGTCATGAGGGTTAACTATGGGCAAGGAGTCAACATCAATGCCTTTGTAGGTGAGTGTTTTGGAGGTCAGTCTCCCATCCTGGCTGTCCCAGGGACCTCATGTTCTTCACAGGTGTTGGGATTCCTGCTCCCTGGACTCCAAGCTGAGCCTCAAAGGGATATTTATCCCCCCTAATTCTCTGCTTTGCCTTTCCAGTGCTTCCCTACACAATGACACCAAATGATAGTGGTTTCCTTGCAGGTGCTGTTTCTCTGGCCGGGGTGCAGTCAGGTCTTTGGTCTGTGAAAGGGGGGAACAAACTCGTCTGCCCTGGCCTCCTCTATGCCTCCAAGGCTGATGTTATCCCTGGAACAGTTGTGTCCATAGAGCCAAAAATCAGACCCAGGCCCAGCGGTGAGTTGGGGTGGATTTCCCTCAGTGGGGAGGGGAATGGCAACACTGGAGACCACCCTCAGCCCCATGGCTGCAGCTCCTTGGGCTTTCAGGATGAAAATTCTTCCCTGGGAGGGTGGGGAGGGGCTGGGATGGAATTCCCAGAGAAGCTGTGGCTGCCCCATCCCTGGAAGTGTCCAAAGCCAGGTTGGACGGGGCTTGGAGCAAACTGGGATAGTGGAAAGTGTCTCTGCCCACGTCAGGGGGTGGGACTGGATGGGCTTTAAGATCCCTGTCAACCCAAACCATTCCATGATTCCATGTAAACAGGACACAAAACCCAAATGGGAAAAATGGGATTCCCTCCCGTCAGGAGGTGGGATAACCGAGCTGTTCTCTGCAGGGGATCCCGTGAAGCTGTACCAGGTCACCTACAACACGTCCTCGGGGCTGACAGGGGACACGTACGATATGGTCATCATCGCTGCTCCGCTGGGCCGCAGCATGGCCAACATCACCTTCAAGAACTTCGACCCTCCCGTCCCGGAATTCCCAAATCCCTACCACCAGACTGTCACCACCCTGGTGCACGGGCGGTTAAACACCTCTTTCTTTGGCTACCAGGACCCACAGGCCTTTCATTTGAGCGGCATCTTCACCACGGAGAACCCCAAGCTGTTCATCAACAGCCTGGGGGTGGTGCACCCCGTGGGGGACGCCACTGGGGACGGGAAGCTACCGTTGGAATCAGCCATCTGGAAGATATTTTCCAACGAAGTGCTCACCAAGGAGCAGCTCGCCCTGCTCTTCTCCTCGTACGACTCGGTCAAGGTGAAGCCGTGGTTGGCGTATCCCCAGTACAGCCCTCCCGAGAAATGCCCCCCCATCATCCTGCACGACCACGTGTACTACCTGAACGGGCTGGAGCGGGCGGCCAGCGCCATGGAGATGTGTGCCATCGCCGCCAGGAACGCCGCCCTCCTCGCCTTCCACCGCTGGCACGGCCACTCCGACAGGATCGACCAGGAGGGCCTGCACGAGAAGCTCAAAACGGAGCTCTGACCCCCGGGGAGGGGGGGCCCTGGGGCTCATTAACACTAACGAACAGCAACTCCCTGCTGAGCCCACCCAGGGTGTTCTGTAGAATTGTGGGATAGGTTTGGAAAAGGCTTTTAAGATCATCGAGTCCAATGTCTGACACCACCACCACCATGGGAAAGACCTTCAAGAGCATCAAGTCCAACACCACCACCACGGTCACCACTAATTATGCCACATCCGCGTGGTTTCTGAACGCTTCCAGGGCTGAACAACCCCTTCCATGAAGAAAATTTTCCTCATATCCAACCTAAACCTCCCACGGTGCAACTTGAGGCCATTTGGCCAACCCAAGAGGGGGCAGGACAGGGGTGAAGTGGCACAGGAGGCATTCCCAAGCGAGCCAGGACGTTTTCCTCAAGCAAATGCCTTTTCCTCAAACTCCTCCAGCTATCCCTGTCTGAGATTAGAGAAGTCATTCAAAGTGCCATATTGACCCCAAAAGTTCCCTCCCAGCTCAGGATCACTGTGAAGCCCTGCTGATATCCCTATCCCTATTCTGATAACCCTGTGATATCCCTTCTCCAGCTTGGAATATCCACTCCTTGACTGTCCATCTCTCTGCCTCAGCTACTTTCCGAAGTGTCTACCAAGTAATTATTCCTCAGGGTGGAAACTGGGGTTTAATTAGCTTCCCAAACTGCTTATGGGAGGGGAACTTGTGTGCTGCGAGCTGCCAAAATGGGTGGGAAAGAAGGAAAACCACAAATATCCATCGCTGTATCGGGGTGTGAAGGAGTTAATAAGGAATTTCACGGCCTGACCGTTTTTTAAGGTCATGAAATAACATGAATAACACCAGAAGTAGCACAAATTTAACACCCTCTTCAATAAATTCAGCCTCCTTTAAAGTTTTCCTGAGATTGGGAGTGGAATTAACACCCAGCTGGCAAAAAATGATGTAAGGATGAGTTATGTCAACCATTACAAAATTTATTTTAAAACAAAACAAAATAGTTGTATCCTTGTGGGCATCATCCTGGGGGAGGGAACAGCACCGGTGGGTCGGGATTTGGGTTCTTCCAGAGTTATACTCGTTCCAAAGCTTCCAGCATGATGATGCTGTTCCCTCGGATCACCTGGAAGGGGAAAGTTGAGAGTGCAGCAGGATGGAGACAGCATCCAAAGCTTTGTAAAGGCCAGGCTGACACATCCCACCCCTGTCCCTTGCTGTGCCCACGCTGGCCATGTCTGTGCCCCCCAGTCCGTCCCAGTGCCCCCGTGCGCTCACCACCATGCCGATGTTGTTCTGCTGCCCGCCCGGCGCCATCTCCACGCACTCGTCGATGACCAGGTTCATGAAGGGGTCGAAGCCCCTCAGGATCCCCTGCACGTGTCTGCCCCCGTTCAGCTTCACTGCAGGGAACCCAGGGGGGTTAGGGAAGGGCAAACCCCAAAACGGGAGGGATTCACCCCAAAACCGCAGCTCGGGAGGGGCAGGACACGTGGGGGGGGG